AAAATTAATTGAAAACGAAAGTGAATAAACTTGAGAATAGGAAATATATGTTAATGTATACGCGTAAAAATGACAAATGGCATTTTTTTTTATTTTTTTATTATTATGGAATGAAACGAGGTGAAGGAATACTACTTAAACGGCATTGTAAATTGAATAAATAAAACAGAGACAGCCGTTTAGGATTTAATAAACATTAAGTGTAGCAACAAGATTCAAACGTATCCCCGTTAATTAGTTTACCAGTTTGTAAAAAAGACCGGTTAAATATTCAATAATGTGAACAGACATTTCAACGGATTTTCTGTATTTAACTGAATAATATATACCGAACAGGATTTGAAATTTTCATTATCATCTTACGGTGCATTAAGATCTTTATACGTTTATCCTTCCTCTAATGTATTCATTAACGCGTTCTTCCTTTGCACGTTTCTCTCATTAAAGCTGGCATTGAACAACGTTAATTGGCATGTCCGTTATTGAAAAATTTCTTCACCGATATTACTAAAAAAAGGAGCAATCCTATGATTGAAGCGTTGCAAAAGAAAATGCTAATTTGCAATCCGTAAATAGAGAATCTTTCAGTACCAAATTTCGTTAGAAATATTATACGTTTAACATTCAACTGGTAAAATATGAATATTTGACAAATTTTTCAGTATCAGAACCAATAAAAATTTCTGTCGTAATTTTGCATTTGATACCATTTAAAATTTTTACCTTATGTAAATTAGCTTTGCAGTATTTCAGTAAGAAAATCTTCTTAGCGATACTAAAATTTTTGTACCTTTAGATTTTCGTACTCTTAGATTTTTATACTTTTATACTTTCAGATTTTGATACTCTTAGATTTTCATACTTTCACATTTTCATACTTTTAGATTTTTATACTTTTATACTTTCAAATATAAAAATGAAAATACGCGTGCAAGTATTCCACAAGTAAACGATAATTATTAGTCGGAATTGCAAATCGATCGTTCGAGCAGGAAACTTCAAGCACCTGTTTCCTGATAACGCGAGAAAGTTAGATTTTCATCAGCCTTTTTCTCCTCTTTACTTTTCTTCCCCTTAATCGCGACGAAGATAGAAATGAAACGCCGTGGTAAACGCTGCTACCTGTTGTTGCGACCAGAGAACAAAGACAGATGAACACACATCTAACCTGCAGTTTACCGAGCGAACAAGATTTACCGTCGCGATTAGATTGAAATCGAAAGAGTGCATGAAATTAGAGTCCTCGATAAGAAAGATCAATTAAACCAGTTAACTTGCAGCTTCTAGATTTCCTTATTTCGATACAAGAATCTTACCGATGGACTAATGATTTTCCTTAGAAATGGCTGTTTCGATTTGATAAGATTAGAGTGTTTAATACGAGCAAATTGAGTTTCGAAGCTGTAGATTCTTATTTTATCGAATAAGTTCCTGAAAGCGTAATTTAGGTATCAGAATTTCATCTGAATGACTCGCGTATCTCTGTAAGCATCAATTTTCTATCTTAATTTACTTCGTTTTACGAACTGTGCTTAAAGTTAAAACGCACTCGTCCCACGGTGTCCATCGGTGGATAATTTTATTTTCTCTTATGGTAACTTATTTTCGAACTTACTTTATCTTACGAGCTACTTAATGTTGAAACTCGCATCTCAGAATGTCTCTTAACTGTGCATGTAATTAGTACCCGCAGTCCACTCTGAATTCGTGAGAGTGTCCACGGGTAAGCGTAGTTCTCAGCTTGGTATCCTTTTCCAAAAGTGAGAATTTTCTTTGGAAAAGAATACCAATTACCAGGTCCCACCACGCGGAGGTGACTACACAAGGGACCCGACAAAAATAATGGCCCTACTGGCAGCTTTCTATCTTCAGAGATACGCGTTTCTCATTTGTAGCGAAGGAAATAGATACTTCTATTGAAAATTCGTGTCTTTGGAATAATTCGCGATACGGTATACGAGTGTCTTTTGTGTTTCACTTTTTCTCATTCTCAATGCAATATTTAAACTCTAAAAATGTCATACTCTTCCTTGATAAGATGTTGAAAAATGATAAATCGCGTCAGTGGAAATGTAGATGGTATTTTATTAATTATGCTACAAATGAAAAAGCGTATCTCTGTAAGAAAGCGCGCACATGGTAGTTAGTACAATTTTCTATCTTAGAATTAACTTATTTTATTTTATGAAAACTACTTAAAATTAAAACGCACGCATCCCACGACGTCCATCGGTGGATGAATAAAATTATCTTTTATTTTCTTATGCTAACTTATTTTATCTTACGAACTACTTAAAGTTAAAACTCTCGTTCACGCTCGCTTCACACTCGGTACAGTTTTCTACCTTAGAATTACTTAAAGCTAACGTGTAATAAAAATTTGTCAAACATACAACGAAGATCTGCAAGAAAAGTGCATTATTAAATTGGAATAGGAGGACAAATTGTTAGGATATCTTTTTTATTTATATTTTATTTTCGTATGTAAAACCGTAGTGTCGAAGTTCTGTAAGAAAAATATATTATTAAATTGAAATAGGAGAATAAATTATTCGAATATCTTTATTATATACATTTTATTTACATATATAAAATC